GAGGGAGGGGGAGAGAGAGAGGGAGGATGACAGAAAGGACAGAAAGAGAAAGCAAAAAAATGAGTGAGAAGAGAAAACTAAACATAGGGGGCAAGAGTGGGCTTTGAGGAGATGCAATGAGGGGTGAGGGGCCCTTCCCTGCATCGTGCCCCTCTGATCTGTCTCTGCCTACATGGCCACCAGCTTTAGGGAAAAGAGACTAAGTGAACGGGAAGAGATGATGGACCTACAGAGCTGTAACCCATCTGGCCCTTGTGGATTAATTCCTGGGCAAATTCAGGGGAGTTCTCATGTCAGCCAGCCAGAGCTCGGGCCATGAAAATTTCTCTAAACTTTTACTCTCCATTTCAAAAAGAGTCTAGAGTCTTTCTTCATGCAGGATGTTGTTTGAAAATCTCTGGAGGGGAGGCAGTGCAGACCTTTATTTTTCAAGGAAATTTTATTAAAAAAAGAAAAGCCTGGGCTTTGAGCTGCAGCATTACCATCAATAGACCTGCCAACAACCAATCCAGTGCAGGTTTGTAGCCCCTGTTTAATTTACTGTCTATTGATGTTTAAGATCCCAGAGAAAACAAAATCTCATTTCTGGAGCATTAATTTACTTCATTTTTCTGGGGAGTCTGAGAGTTAATTTAGAAACCCAAATGCCATCGTGGGGCACCCAGAGAATTTCTGCTACAGTGAAAATTGTGGCTTTTTTCTTTTACTCCAGGAATAGATGGAAGTATTACAAAAGGAATACATTTTCCTCTGAAAGATGAGCTATTTGACGACTACAGGCTGTTCCTTTTGATACAGAAATCAGTGCTTTGATTTATTGTCATTAGGCCATCTCCTTCCTCTGCTGAGCTAGGGGCAATCAAAGCGGGGTAAGCAAATGGCACTATTTTTCCTGTAGCCATTCGGTAGTTTCCCATGAGAATCCAGAACCACTGTTCTCAGAGACTGATGTTTTATCCATCTTGTGGTCACAGAAGCCTCGAAGAGGAGGATCCTGAGGCGGGGGGAGAGGGTGGAAGTCTGGACCCTGTCCTTTTCCCTCCTGGGACCTGCTGGCTCGTTGGCTTCTCTCCTTGGCTCTGCACTTCTTAGCATTGCCTGATGTCTCCACCTTTGGCCTTAAGTGGAAATTACCCCCCTCATTCTTCAGACTTTGTGCTGTGCTCGGCAGAGTGAGGTAGAGAGTGGACCAGTTCCTTGGGTTTTAATAGGTAAACAGTCCCAGTTAGTCGATCCACAAATATTTATTGAGCACCTAAGATATGTCTTGTGCTACACAGACCGTGGGAACAGAGTTTGTGTCTCCCTCAGCTTCTGTGTGCAGGGGAAGCTCTAGGATGGCTGGATTTCACCTGCAGACTGTGGAGCTCACCTTGCCCTCCGCCTCCCAACTGCTCAGATCCTGCAGTGGTAGCGGAAGCTGAGGACCTCCTGGGTACAAGATGCTTCCTGCCTCAGGACACATTTGCCTTAGGTGATATGCTTGGCTTGCCTCGGCCTTCATTTTCCTTCTCTCCTCCCCAGCCTCTGTCCCCTTTGCATCCTGTGAGGCCAACCTCTCATCTTTGACTAGTTTCAGCCACCAACATGTTCATGTAAAGGGTTTTAGAAACAGCCAGGCTGTAGGAATTTGGTGGGGTGCACGTGCTCAGAAACCACACTTGCGATGAATACTGTTTTCACTTGGGTTATAAACTATGGACTCTCACTTTTGAAAGTTTCTAAGAGGTCTGATTCACTCCCAACCCAGGGTTTCTATGACCACTTCATCACTCTCGTTATTATTGGACGGCTTTGGGGAGGGTAGGGTTTTTTCAGGCAAACTCAGGCTGCTGCTCCCCACCCCTCAATTGTGCTTTATGATTATTTTCCAAACTGCATTTATGGAAATGTTCCTAAAGTGGCGATGACATCCTTGGGGCATAAGCACTGAGGCCAGGGGATGGAGGGAGCTGATCTTGGGCATCAGAATGAGGGGGAGAGCGGGATCGGGGGGACACATGCCATTCTTGGCCACTGTCTCTGAGGAGCAGGAGCTCTCTTAGGGGCTGGTGCACACTTTGTGTAAAGTCCCCCTCCTCCTGCTCACCCAGGGGCTGAGGCTTCCCCTCCAGAGCAGCATATGCAGGCTTTTGAAAACATCTAAGAGGAAAACACCTTTTTGCAATAGTGGGGGAGAGATGTCCTGCCCAGCTAAAACTTTAGTGAAAAGTGAGTGGCCCAGGAGGGGAGAGCCCCTTTGCCTCTCAGTTAATTCTGTGGCTAGTCTGCACAATAATCAAACCAATCAGGGACAGCTTGAGCCACTGTTTGTCTGCAGTGGCAACCTGAAATTTCTAGGTACTTGTCCTCTGCAGACATTTCTTTTATCATGTTGGGGGTCAAACCCAGGGCCTTTCTACTGCACTATATCCTCAAGCCCTGCTTTTTATTTTTAATCTTGAGACACTGTCTCTCTAAGTTGCCTAGGCTGGACTTGAACTTGCCATCCTACAGCTCAGCCTCCCATAAGTGCCGGGATTATAGGCCTGCAATACCATGCCAGCTTCCAGGGCACTTTTGCCCCATGCACGTGGACTGGCTGGTGCAGAGAGGTGCCGTGCTTTGTCACCCAAGCCCTTAACAATACATACTGTGTTTCTTTGACCTCACTCATGACCAGGATGTGGGTTGAACGGAGCCTGCGGCTGGGTTTTGGAAGAGGATAGCTAATCGGGCTCTTACCTGGCAATCTTGTCTGTGCAGGACATGGTGACCAGCTGCTCCCCCAGCAGGATGCCGTCCCACGTCTGGACTGCGCTGGGCCCCCGTACGGGGACCGTCCCTTCCCCAGACTCAATCTTGGTGCGCAGGTGTCCTCGGAATTTCCTGACGAGGTGTTTGCTGCTGTTCACTGGGAAGGAAGAGGTGGTGTGAGAGGTGGCAGGGACACGACGCCAGGGATATGGAGGGTCCATGGTTGAGAGGTGGAAGATGAGGAGGGAAAAGAGACTGAGGCAGTGTGTCAAAGGGCCCCCAGGGGGTGAAGGAAATGAGGAGTGGGGAATTTCCTCACTTCAGCAGTGTCAGGGCTAAGAGCTGAGCTGTAGAGCAGTGTCGCCCAGCCAGTGCCAGCTGGGCATGGAAGGGCACAGAACATTTCTGAAAGTCAGTTCTGGTCCTGGAAGGGCACAGAACATTTCTGAAAGTCAGTTTCTGTCTCCACCACCCAACTCTGCCGCTGACCCGAAAAAGCACGTGGAGGGTGACGCATCAATGAATCGGCCTAACTCCACACCCCTAGATCTTGATTTACGGACACAAATTTCAGCATGTAAATGTATTTTACATGTCATGAAATACAGCTTGCCCTCCATATCCTTGAGTTCTGCACTAGTGGAATCAACCAGTTGATGATCAAAAATATTTAGAAAAAATTGCTTCTCTATTGAACATGTACAAAATTTTTTATCACCATTTTTCTCTGAACAATACATATAGGTGGCTATTGAAAACTAAGGTGAATGTTTAAGTTAAATGAACTTCTTAAAATAAAAGGCACCTCACCAAGAATTGACAAAGGTGTTCGAAGAGGGGGAATATGTTTTGAGTATTTTGAGGGGGATTAATTGCAATGTGTCTTTTACTGTAACGAATGTTAAAATTTTTTTAAATACTTCATATAACAGCTATTTACATGGCATTTACGTTGAATTAGGTATTATAAGTCATCTAGAGATGATTTAGAACTTTAAGGAGATGTGCATAAGTTATACATAAATACTATACCATTCTATATAAGGGACTTGAGCACCTTTGTGTTTGGTATGCACAGAGGGTCCTGGAATCAAATCCCAGTGGATACTGAGGAGTGACTATATTATTTTTTTTCACTATTTCAGGCCATTTACAAATTGTAAAACCATTTACATCTAGCTTTCAGGCCATGCAGAAAGAGGTAGTGGGTAGGATTTGGCCCTCATGCTGGTGTAGATCTGAATCCTGGCTCTATCGTTTACTAGCTGTGTAACCTTGAGAAAGTTACTTAAACTCACTGTGAAGTGGTTACTGTACTTCCTCTTCAAACAGTGATGGTAGCCTGGCTGCTCAGTCTTGAGGGTTTGATGAGATAGCACATGTGGAAGTGCTGATACAGCTAGGAGCCCCTCAGCTCTTTTTAGTTCCTCTAATTACTGGGGGTCTGTATGAGGCAGGCACTTTCCTAGGCCTAGAAATTAAGGGTGTCTTTATTCATCCCTCATGTGTCCTGGGTGGCAAACTTTTCTTTCAGAGCCTTGTCCACACACATCTACCCATGTATGCCAAACTGCACACCCCACACTTACTTGGAGAAGTATGAACAAGAGGAAATTTGCATTTATTTTTTCTTTCTTTAAGAAATGTTGTATATTAATTTTGGATTGTAATGTATTAGAGAAATGGTTAACTGTTTCACATACAAATTATACATAAAAAGCATAGTGATTCTTTCATTTACATACATGTAACATGAATGAATATTACACATTTTAAAAAAGGTTTTCATTTAAGTTTTAGAAATTGTGTATATGGGGTCTTCCCCTCATTTATTCTCATCGAAATGCTCACTAGCAGATGCGGGTTTTTATGGGAACTTTCTCCTACAGATAGCAGAAAAATTTCCACAGGACTTTCTTACTGGTTCTAAGAGCTGAAGTGTCTAAGGTTTACATTTTGGGAAGAAAGATTGATGTATTCCTTGGAGAAAGTAAACTTTTGGACAGATTTTTTTTTTACCCTGAAACAAACCAGATACTTGCTGAGATCCAGTTTGGACTTGTCTGTGAGTCATCTACGGAAGGAAAAATCAAGGACAGAAATGTAACCTGGGCAGGGTATAGGAAACAGATGCGCAGCCCTGCCTCCCAAGGAGGCGTGAGAATCTCTTCTGTGCAGCTCCAAGTGGTACCGAAGATCAGAGGACTATAATGGTGGCGATGATGGTGATGACTGCGCAGATGTCAGTGGCAAGCAGGATGCAATGGTGCTGTTGCCGCTCGGGATGGTGATGGTTATGATGCTGGTGGTGGTGATATGGGGAGGATGGAGATGATGTGTGCTGACGTGATGGTGACCATGGGGATGGCAATGACGACGACCATGATGATGATAATGATGACAATGATTACTTTGGTGGCAATGGTAATGATGCTAAGGCAGTGGCAAAGATGATGCTTGTGGTGGTGGTGATGATAAATGCAACACAAAATAGTTCCTATAACCAAAAACTCCTTGCACAAACCACGAGTTCAACCTGAATTTTTACACCCTCCAGGTGGGGGTTTTCTCAGTAGGAACTCTCTGTGGTAGGCTGTGCTGGAAGTAGGGGAGCCAGCATGCCTCAGTTTCTACAATGTTACCACAATGTTGGGAACTTTTTGATTTGGGAGGCAGTTTCTCAGCGAACCTAGTACTTGCTGTCCTTCTATTTATGTTAATTATAATGTCCTTATAGTCTCCCAACACTTCAACTACTGTGTGATTTTCCAGGCTTCTAAAGGTGCCTATTGTGTTGTAAAGCCTACCTAAAGTCTTCCATCTGTTAAGGGCAAGACAACAAGGAGATCTAGCTTGAATTATTTACTGGTTTTCAGGAGTTAAGACAAAGTTTTAAGGCTAGATTCATTTTGTCTCAAGAGCCAGGTGCATGAGACACTCCTGAGAGAGTGTATTTTTGAAGGAGTGAGGTCTCTCCAGCACGCTCCCTGCTGAGCTGGAACACAGAACTCTTTCCTCTGGCTTCGTCTCAGCTAATTGCTAGAGGCAGGAGAGAGCTGAAGATGCCACTTCAAGTAGAAAGAAATGCCAATCCAACCAGCAAATACAGGGGACTGAACTTAAATAATCTGTAGTGTGCCTGAGAGAGTGGATGTGTGAAATGTTAAAATCCTGCCTGGCACCTGTGCATAGATACTCCCAAATCCATCAACACATTCTAGTCCAACTCTGATCTTCCAAATCATCAGGTTCATCATTATAGTGTTTATTAACCTAAAACTTTTATTTTTTGGGGGATTGATGTTATGGTAAATTAGCATGGTAAATAAGCTTAATAAAATTGTTCAAGTGAATATTTTATTTTTAGGGGAGAATCAAAAGGAGATGGTGATAAATGACAAATAAATCAATTCCTTAGGGAGCTAAAGGTTTATCTATAAAGCAATGTGTAGCTGTGCAATGAGATAGAGAGAGACAGAGCCAAAACTAAAAGCAAACAAATCCCCAAACAAGATTTAAAATCTGCCACAAAAATACAAGAAAGGAAGAAGATACTTTTAAACCCTACTAAGTTACTTTAAAATTTCAAACTCTCTTCAAAAGGTGTGTCCCAGAGCTGGGGATGTAGCTCAGTGGCACAGCGCCTCCTTGGCAAGCTTGAGGCCCTGAGCTGGATTCCTGGTACAAAAAAAAAAGTGTGTCCCAGAAGGATACCTGTTAATAAACACCTATAAAATACCTGTTAATAAATACCTAATGAATACCTGTTAAGCCATACCTATTAATACATATTATTTATTACAGTAATAAGATATACAATATTTACCATATAGTAATGTAGGTGATCTTTGCCTTATTTGATGATGATAGTGATGATGATTTATGAGGCCATTCATATTTATTATCCTACAATTCATGAAAATGATCGTATACTGCAAGTTTCTGTAACTCAGTAGGGAATCTAAAGATAAGAATTTATGGAATGTATTTTAGATTCCCTGACTTTATGGGATTTTGTTTCAGCCTCCTAAACTGACCATTTATGTGAAGAATGGAACTGGATTAGAATGAATGTATTAGGCACTTAGCATAAATTTGTAGATAAATATATAAAAATAATTTTGCTATTTGTCATGGCATGGCATGTGGAAGATAGATTGGAGAATTTAATCTATTAAATTCTTGGAGAATAGAAATAAGAGCTGAATTTCCTAGGTTATTAAAAAGCCATAATAAGAAAGAAGAATTTGCAAAAAGGTTGTTGGTGAAGTGCCCTGGGTCCTCACAATCTTCTCTTACATGTAGGATAACAGCCTGGGTTCCAGCTCCGGCCTCTGGAACCACTAAGGAAATGGTATGGTCCTTGTGGGTCTGGGGGGAGTCTTCCCTCCTTGGTAGTGGTGGCACTCTTAAGCTTCTCAAGGACATTTGCCAAACTCCCAACTCTGACCTAGAAACAGTGTCCTCTGCTGATTGAGTGAAGAAATGTCTTTTAAGCATTTTTGCCCCCTTGACTAACTTTGGCCCATGGAGAAAGTCATATGGTTTAGCATTTTTGAGTCAGCTGAGGTGGACAGAGTGGCTTCGGGTTGTGTAAGACCAGAGACCTCAGTCTGCAAAGGTGTCACTGAAGCAACCTTTCCTTCACAGTGCATGTGATGCACCAGTGAAAGCCTGCTCACCTGCCCACTATGCTTCAGGTCAAAGGGCCCCGGCACAGGCCACAGAACTCTGTCTGCCCTTTGCCGATACTCTGCTAGATCACTTTCTCTTCAAAGACCCTCCACTAAGCCAGCAAGAAATAAATGCCCAATCTGGACAGGAGATAATTTAAGGGAGTTCAAATCTAGTGACTTGAAACATGACTGATGCTCAGAAAACTGCAGATTTGTGAGCTTCTCTCCACCCCTAATGGATCTGCATCTCAGACAAGTAGCATATGGTAGGAATATGAATTTTAAAAAATGTCTCAGGAGACCCTGATAGAAAAGCAAGGTTTGGAAACAACCAAATCTAATTTCTGAACTTGCAGGCAATGTATCTCCCAAAATGTCATGGGCCAATTTGCATTGATACCATACTCAAGCCACCAGGAATGGAAATTTTTTGATCTAGATGAACGTTTTGGTAGAAAATAATAAAACTCAGAATGTAGACTTTTCCCAGCAACAGGCATCCCAGGGAAGTCGGGCCTGATGACCACATCAGAGTCCTGGGTCATCTCCTAGTACTTAGAAGCCCTGAATCTGGGCCTGAGGGATCCTAGCTGACTTCAATCCACAGGGCTTGGGGAACTCATGAAAACTTCTCAGCTGGGAGAACAGCTGCTTGGCCAGAGAAGTGCCTGGTGGAAAGCAGTGACTCTGCAGCTGTTGGGGAGTTGGAAATATGTTCCTAGACATTTCAAGTCAGACTCCCTTCTTTCTTGGCCTCCTGATTATTTGGTACTTGAATGACTGAGACTTTCTAGAAAACGTTCTTATTATACTCTGTTCCCTGTTTCTTCATTCTTTGAAAGGAAGAGGCACAATCTAGGCTACTTGTTCAAGTTTCTAAACTTCTCTTAGGCTTAGTCATGTTGGAGTTATGTTTGTAGATGCTGAGGCATTGCCTGTTGAGTGTCTGTGTGGATATATACTAATGCCTGTGTGTGTGTACATGTGCTCATGTATACATGTTTGTGCATGTATGTTTTTGTATATGTGTATGTTTGTATGTGCATGAGTAAGAAAGAGGGGGAAAGGGAGGAGGAGGGAAGAAGAAGAGGAGTTGGGGGAGAGAGACAGAGACAGAGACAGAGAGTCCGAGACAGAGAGAGAGAGAAAGAGAAGATAATTCTAGCACAGTGGCAGGTTGGTGGAGGTAAGTATGGTGTGGGGCCATATGGAGTTCATAAAAGTTTTGTGCAAACTAATTGAGGGTAAGGAAAAAAAAAGAACTACAGTGATCAATGACCAAGTTGTATCCAGGCACAGTGCTGGAGAGCTAGAGAGCCCCAGAAAGGTGGAGAATGCCAGTTCAGAGTTTCCTTTAGTTTAGGATGAACTTCTTAGATTCTCAATGAAGATTTCAATGTAATGCATAGAGAATGTCTGTGCCAGGCAGTCTCTGTGTTTGTGAGCATATTGATATGACACTGACCTTTGGGGGACAGCTGGTCCAGGAAACACAGTCCTCAGGTCTTCACTTAGGGCCATGGACCTTTGGTCTGGAAGTAGGGTAAGGCTGGGGCTTTTACAGGGTTAACATTTTGGGGGTAGATGGTGCTGTCTGGTGACCCCAGGTGTAGATTTAACTGGCGTTTTTCTAGCAAGCCTTCCTGCACGGGGCCTGTCACCACAGCTGACCCTGGCAGGAGCCCTTCTGAGCAAAGGCCTTGTCACTCACAATATCTAATCTAGCAGTCCAGCTCTCCTTAAGCAGTAGCAATGAAGTGAGCAACTAGTGAGCAACAGAGGGCTGCTTTGTCTCTTGTTGCAAAGTGGAGCTTAGTGGATTTCTCTAAGGTGGTGTGATTGCAGAATTTATTCCTGAAGAGTTTCTGTTTCCCTCAGGAGGTGTGAGGGATGCTGAGCAGTCTCTCTGAAGGCTCCTTCCGAGCAGACACAGCAGGCGTCTGAGTTATCTTGTCCTTACTGAGTGAACGGGGGAAAGTGAAGCATAGCTTTTGGCTGATGAGTCCACTTTACAAGCTCACCGAGTGGCTGCCTGTTCCATGCTCCCCAGGTGGGAAGAGTTGGGGAGACACCAGCCCTAATTCAGAGACATAACTCAGGCAATAGCAACTCCTTTTTGCCTGGCATATCTATTGCAAAATGGGAGGAAAATGCTTTATTTTTTTTCTCCTACCAGCACCTGCCTCTTCTTAAAAGCACCATGAAATAAAAAAGACATCTGTGCCTGGAAGTGAACCCCAGGGTGCCTGTGAAAATGTATCTGTTTGTTTTTCTAAACTGCCAACATTGCAAGTCAGAACAGAGGGCTGGTGAGGCCACAGTTGGTGCTTGATGTACAGAGACAAGGGAAGCTTGATGGACCAAAACTATCCCCAGGGGAGACCAGGAAGTCTAAACCATGACCAAGGTTCTTGCTGTCCTCACTCAGCCCTCTCCTGACTCCTGCTGGGGACACATGGGTCAAGTAGGAAGCTGGATAAAGTAGATCTAGTCCTAAATGTCTCACAAGATTTTTTCCTCCCATAGTCTGAGAGTCCCTAGGGTGGGTTTTCATCATGCCAAACCTTTCGAGAGAAGATGGGGAGCTAATTCCTAGTAGCTGTCTATTGGGAAATAGACTAGGTTTCTCTATTTTGTAGGGAAAGATTGTACTGTATAGATCCAGGCTGATGGGTGTTTCCAGGGAAAATGAATCAGCCCTGTATTGGTTTTCTGTCTGTCTCATACCCTACGTGGTCTCACCAGGGCCTGCACAGGGAGAGCTCTGTGCACTTCTCACATTGTCCAGGCAACCCTGGCCCTCTTTCCTTCCTGGGGACAGTTTAGTTAATGGGTTCCTTTTTCTGATTCTCAATTTGATTTGATTTTCCAACTTGCTTTACAAAGGATGTGAAAAGGCTTCCCTTATAGAGAATCTCATCCAACCACTCTCTCATATGAAAGGAATGGAGTTGGAGGAAAGTCTGTGTGAGAAAGGAGAAGGAATTTCAGTGGTCCAGCACCCAATCTGAGGGTTAGAGAAATAGGTTAAAAACACTATTATTCTCCCCCTATGTCTTCTTTATTTTTGGTGGAAGCACTCATGACAAGCCTGGAACACAGCAGATACTCAATAGATACTCATTTTTCCTGACTTTGGTAACTAGGGCACAAATGTAGTCTTCCATATCAGGAGAGTCAGAGGCCAAACCAACCCTTTACTAACTACATTGTCCAGTGTTTTTCTACTGACATTTCCTGAGCACAGAATGAACTTTTTGATGTTTCACTACCTCTATTGGAACCAGATCCTTCATCAAATACATATGCTTATTTTAATTTTATTTTTTGGTGAAATATTTTTTATATCTTTTTTAGCTGGAACAAAAACCACAAAATGTTGACTGTGACTATGTCTAGGTGGTAGAAATACATATATAGTGGTACCTCAGTTCACGAACTTAATTCTTTTTTTTTCTTTTTTTTGGTGTCGAGGATTGAACTTGGGACCTTGCACTTGGGAGACAGGCAGTGGCACCACTGAGCTAAATCCCTAGCCCACAAACTTAATTCTTTCTATGATTCTGGTGGCAACCTGAATTGGATGAGAACCAAATCAAATTCAGTGATTAGGTTCAATGTTGACCTTATGGGGAAATTTGATTTGGTTCTCATCCAATTCAGGTTGCCACCAGAATTGTGGAAAGAATTAAATTCATGAACTGAGGTACCACTGTACATGTATTTACTTTCATTGCCTCCATGGGAATATTTTCCTAGGCCTCCTTCTAGAAAGAGTTTGGGAGAGTGTGAGTGAATGAGTGTATGTGTGTGTGGTTCATAAATAAATACAGACATATAAGTGCAAAATGTATGGAAATAGCACCAATAATAGAATTCCATCACAGTGTTTAAGGAGAGGGGGATTGAACTCATGGCTTTGACACTTTATTGTTTATCTCAGAGACACTGCCATCATTGACATCAGAGTGGACGCCCTCCTGGCCTATGACCCTGGACCACAGTGTGGCTACTCTGCTGATGGAGATGACTAGGAGGGGCAGAGGGCACCTAGTTGCTCTCTCTTGGACTCCGCTGACCAACACTAGGGGAGCAGATCCTGCCCAAGGGTTCAGCAATGGAAATTTGTAGTTAGCCCCGGGCAGCACTTTTGCTGGGCATCCCTTGAAGCTAGCTTTGTTACAAAAGCTGAGTTTTATTTTCCCCAAAGTTGCAAATCAAGGCAAACAGAGACACTTTGAATTTGCTTGCACCCCATGTAATTCTCATTTGCCATATTCATTCCATTTTCCAGCCTGGGATGGAAGGACTGTCTGACCTATTAAAATGAGGCAGAGGACTATAGCAATTAAATAGCTAATTTTAGACCTCAAATTACTTTTCTACCAACAATCCAGGCATTACAGACTAAGATTTTGGAGCTATGATTATCTAGTTAATTGCAATCTGCTTCTAGCATCTCGAAGCCACGGCCACCCACACACAGGGCTCCTGGGCCAAGGTAGCCCAGAACAGGGTCTAGATAGATAGAGGGCAGCCTGGCTGTTTGCTGTTTACAAAAGGCAAACGTGCTGTCTCTTACGGTCTGTGGTGATCTCATAAGGGGAGTTGAGTCTTGCGTCTCCACAGGGTGATGTGCTCACATAGAGATGGAAGAGGATGTTTTCTCGAAGTCTGTAGCCTCCCTCCTTTAAACGCACAAATATTGATCGCTCTGAGTCCTCTCGTCGCTTGCTAGGAATACAAAGAGGATCTGGGTCATTTATTACAAACTCAGTCAGAAGGATTTCAATCAGGTGAATGTGTTTGTCCTGTTTTGTAGAATTGTTTCCCAGTTTTTCCCTCCTTCACACTGTGTTCTGGGTTTGCCCCTTCAATGCGCTGCAGTGAAACCATGTGAAAGCAAACACATACAGTGGGAATCCTGCCCTGCTCACCCTCTCTGCACATTTACATTTCAAACTTATCTTTTGCAGAGCCAGTAGCTGCAATTTACACAACTGTAATCCTGTGGATTCGCAAACACTCCTTGTGGGAATATCTTTCAGTGGACTATTGGGTTGACATAGTGTTGGCTAGCAACATGTGTATGTGTGTGTTAACAAAAGAAAAGGGATCTTAAAGTGTGGCTGGCGGTATGGTGGCATTTGGCTGTGGTCCCAGCACTTGGGAGGCTGAAGCATGAGGATTGCAATTTTGAGCTCAGCTTGGGTAATCTGATGATTTAGCAAGACCCTGCTTAAAAAAAAAAAGGGCAGGTGGGTAGGTACATGGGGGAGTGCAGGGCTGGGCTTGGCCACCTGCATGGGGAGGTGGGAGCAGCAAGCACTCAGGAATCTGCTTTGATTCTGCACCCAGCCCTAATCTAGGGTAGATCAGGAAGAAACCAAGTCTCCTGCAAAGGTTGCAGGGATCTGTGCCTTTTGCTCCTCCAAAAACTACTCCGTAGCCCTCTAAACTAGACTTGAGGCCCCTGGCTTGGTTGAAACAGGGAAACGCTTTGCTGGGTATTTGCAGCCCTCATCTTCTCTGTTTGCTCGCCCTGGTTTCCAGCAGTCTGCTTTCTGCTGCCTTTGCTGTTTTCACTCGTTCAGCCCCACTATTGATGGATTCTGTGTTGCCGGGCCCTGAGACTTCACAAGCAGCAGAGCAGACATTTTCTCCCCAGGAAACCCTGGGGCTGACTACTAGCCTTCCTTATTCCAAGCCTTTGCTCCTTGGCTTCCACCCACCCTCCATCTGTGCAAGGAAAGCCCTCAAAGACTGCAGGGCCTCCCAGCAAGTCTCAGGAGCTAACTGGCATTTTGTTGCTGTGGTTGGTACTCTGTACCCCCACGCAGGGCAGGGGTCAGTGCAGTTGTCTTTGAACACCCTCAGCTCCTCAAGCTGGTAGCACAGAACCCAGGACGCAGCCAGCTCCTGGTAAATGCTGGCTGGATTGCCTCTATGACACAAACAGGAAGTCGGGATACTCGGAAACATTTCCAGTCGAGCAGTTGGGCATTCAGGAGAAATCTTTCTTCTCTCATTTGGAGAGATTTCCAACTCTGGCCACCCTCTGGGCAGGCCTCCTGGATGAATGTCCAATATCTCACACTGCTATGTACTCCTCTAAGGCTCAGATAAAAATTGAGTGTATTAAAGTATGCTTTTATTTGAGTCTGTTGGGTATCTATTTGGACTTTTCTTCCTTTGTGCGGCTTCTGCATATCTAATGGGCATGAACGAGCCACTCACTGAAAGCCCCCGGAAATCCCTTACTAGTGGATTTGAGGAACACTGCTGCAAAGGGTAGCTACAAAAGGCAGGGAAGGGATGTTCTGGTGAAGATACAGCAATCAAACCACTGTGACTGAACAGCTCAGCCTAGGAATGCATTTGAGGTGTCATGTGCTCAATTCTACTAACATTTCTGTTCCAGTTTAATGTGTCTTAGAAAGAGATGCCAGCCCAGGTGGCAGTCTGTTTCTTTCTCATGGCCAGAACAAGCTGTCATGAGATGCTGGAAATTCCAACACTGGAGCTCATGTCTTACAATCTCATTGGCCTCTTCAATTTGGAACATCCTTATCAAGATGTGCTTGGAGATGGAGCCCAGAAATAGGTCCTCAAAACCTGTTATTAGCCACTTTGGGCAGATTTCCTGAGGACTAGGTATAGAGAATGCGACACATTTGAGATGTGGGTGTGGGAAGATGGACTCACCCAGGAGGACTGGAAGGTACAGAGCACCATTATGTTATATGTAGCATGGTTGAGAAATACAGTAAATGTCTAATTTTAAAAAATACTATAATAAAAGACACTTTGGCATTAATCTCCCTCAAAATACTCCTCATTTTGAACACGCTTATCCCATTGTTCTTGCCACTTTCTGCTGTAGTTCTGGAAGTCTTTCATGAACGTATTTAGTTGTGTTGTCATAGCTGCTTTGATTCCTGAATTGATCCAAAATGTTTACTTTTCATGGTCATTTTGACTTTGGGAAAGAGTTAGAAGTCACCTGGTGCCAGGTCTGGTGAAAAAGGTGAACAAGGACACACTATAATGTTTTATAAGCCTACCTTTCTGTTGGATGACACTCAACAGCAGCATTCACCATATTTTTTTTTTCAACACACATAAAGACACTCATGAATGAGAGTTTCCAGAACTGCTTCAGATAGTAACAAGAACAATGGGATAAGTGTGTTAGAATCAAGAGGGATTATTTTGCAGGGGGATTAATGGCAATGGGTCTTTTACTGTAACACATTTAAAAATTTTAAATATTCACTCTGTATTGGGATCACATTGGTTATGTGAGAGCTGCTTGCCTGAAACTTGTCCAGTGGAAACAGCCCGTCATCTGAGGGACAAGGCCTGGGGACAGGAAATAGAATGGTAGCCCATCTATGAGCCTTTGAGAGATGGTCTTGTCCAGTCTCACAGAAACCCTGAGCTCTCATAAGAAGTTTCCTCTACTGAGAAATTCTCAAAATAGTCAAACAAGGAGGGAAGGACTTTTGCAGAATACTGAGCTGTGGGTCCTGTTTGAAATGGAAACAATTTTGTCAAAATTTTGCATAGGTGTCAACTTCAATGTGGTGTCTTTCCATGGCTGAAAGTTTACACAGAGTAGAGAAGCAGGTATATTGATCCAAGTCACCTCACACTATAACTGAACATATTTTCAGTTAAATCAGTGCAGTTATGGGATTCAGAGAGAGTAATAGCTCTCATTTCCCGAGGGTTAGTGAATTCATTCTTTCCTTCTATTTCTATGTCTCTTTCTTTTCCTTCCTTCATCCCACATTCTCATTTCTCTTTCCTCCCTCTCTCCCTTCCTTCTTTCCTTCCTTCCTTCCTTCCTTCCTTCCTTCCTTCCTTCCTTCCTTCCTTCCTTCTTTCCTTCCTAGGTATAGTTCTGGGTATAATAACTAGGGGCTGGTGATGGGAAGAGAAATGGCCTTGTTTAAACTTGCAGTTAAAGAGACATAGTTTAGGTCAGATCTGGGTCACTGTTTCTTTTGGGGGAACACTTCTGTACACCTTTAGCTGACCCTAGAGCTGGATCCTTTCTTTGTCTCATTGCTATTTGGGTTGAGAGCATGGAAAATCAAGGGATGGCTATGTCTAGTGATTTCCTTGATTCTAGAGGCATCTGAGCCTCATTAAGGAAATTTTGACTTATGAGATGCTATAGTAATCTCTCAAATGTTTTAATAGAAAACAATCAAATGAAACAAACTGTGACGGAATGTGTTCCACATGTATTCCTGTGTGTGGGCACCAGTATGGAGGTATGTGTGTCTGTTACTCACAGGCAAACAGGGTATTTCTTGCAGAGAAGCATGGGATAATGAGGATGACACCTTATGTTTCTACACTGTATTGGCCTTTGTGGTGCATGAAAGACATCTCAGGTCTCGATAAAGATAGATGCTTCATGGTGTGTAGCTGCTCACCCTGTGTAGGAGACTGGCCAGAATAAAGGGAGTGACATGTCTGGGCTGGTTGTGTCCCCCTTCTGCTCCTGGCTGTTCTCCAGTGGAGGCATGTCCAGCAAGTATGGGCCCCTTTACCTCAGGTGCAGTTCCAGCTGTGCATAGAGGAAGTGGAGAAATGCCCGCCTGGCCACGATCTCTGCATGGCAGTCGTTGACCACCAGCCCCTGGTCACTGATGTGTTCACCGCTGATGCACTTGGTCCCCGAGGACAGGACGATGACCTGCGCCTGCCTGGTGTCCAAGCCTAAGGGACACAGAGAGTGGTCAGAACAGCTTGGACTTCATGAACCCCCATTCTACCATTGAGAAACCTACAACAGGTGGCCTGACCACCTTCCCCCAAGTTTCCCAGGTGGACAAGCATGATGTGGTGTTCTACATCCCTGGGTTTGTGTGAATGATAGAAGGTGCCTCTTGCAGGGCCTTGCCTTGCTTATGGATTGCTTCATGCTGCACTCTAAAGGCAGCTGGGGAAGAGCACTCATTCCGAGATGTCTGCTGACTTCTCAAACCACAGGTCAGCATGGCTACCCTTGAGTTTTGCCCAAATAGCTATATTTGAGCTGCTGATTATTTATTTATTTGATGGGAAATGGGGAGTTGGTATGTTCCCACTTTTGAATAGGAGAGTCCTGGGAAAAGATGGGCATGATAGAGACAGGGTGGTGACCTGCAACCAAGGAAATGACTTGAGGCCACAGCCAAGGATGGCTGGGAGAAGGAGGGATCTGGGTGGCTAAAAGGGAAGAGGAAGGGATCTATCCATGTGAGCCCTAACTACCTAAAGTCTTCCACCTGCCCCTTCCTCTTAGTTGACAAATGAGTCTTCACTGAAATATTTGCTGATGGGGATGTGCAGTAAACAGGAGAGGGGGAAGGCAGTAAATGGCTCCTAAGCTGAGGCCCTGTCCCATAGAGGCATAGCCCAGGGCATGGGGGAGACAGCTGCCCACCCCTGATGCCTGATATACCTGCTTCACCTCCCTATAGGAGAGTGTAGATGTCCACCAAGAGCATGAGGACCAGGTGAGTGGCTGAATCCAGGAGAGTCCTCCAGGATCCCTCCCTTTGTTCTACAGAGTGCACTCCTTCCCCATGGAGACACCTGCCTTTCTGAGTCTCTCACCCTTATGGGGGGCCAGTTGCCTGTAGCTCCAGCAAATCTCTAAATCCATAGAAGACAAGGCTCAGTGGGTTGGAATAGCAGAGGGCATGTGGTAACACAACAATCTGTGCTTTGGAGCCCTGATGAAACAGGAAATGGCCATGGAGGGGACACTGCTCAGCCTGAAGATGGGTGAAAGTATATTGAGGTGGTGGCTCTAGACACGTCCCTCCCAGAGTCACATTTCACAAGCTGATGCTGGGGCCAGTGGGAGGGTGTCTGGCCCTGCAACACTTTCTCCATGCTGATTTCCTTTGTGGGGAGATATCTCATCAGCAGTGAGTGGCCAGAGCAGTGTGTCCCTCATTTTCTGAGAGACCATAGCCGTTACCAACTCTGTGGGATGCACAGAGGGACAGGACCAATCTTCTCCACAGCCTGAGCCATTTTCCTCTTTCCTGGTCTTCTTAGGTGTCACCCAACAGCTGGAACTTAGGGCTAAGAAAATTTGAAAAGCATGATTTTCAATGGGTTGGTTTCTAGAACTATGAAACTGGGCTTCAGCTTGTTTCTGGTCATATGTGACCAACTGAAAGAATTTTGATAGCTCTATCAAGATGGCAGGAAACAAACTTGCACAGTATCTCATGGTAAGAGCAGAAAGTTTTGAGGTCGGGCAGGGTATTTAGCTCAGTGGTTCCGGCACCTGTCTCACAAGCGCAAGGTCCTAAGTTCCATCCCTGGTTACCACCCCCCCCCCCGGCCAAAAAAAAGAGAAAGCTTTGAGGTCAAACTTAATAGTGAGTCAGTCTTCTTAATCTCTCTGAATCCTAGTTACTCATCCATAAGATGGGGGCAATAGCAATTACTGTCTAGAGGTATTTCCCTCCCCACTTCCTGGCCTCTGCGTTTTTATTTTTCCCTCAGTAGGATCAGCTTTCAGGACAGGAGCTGATAATTGCTCGTTCTTACATGAAAAGTTATTAGATGCTTCCTGATTTACTTTTCATAGGATAATATTGATTTTGATCATAGTCAAAGTCACCTCTTCAACCAAAATGGCGGCAAGGCTTGAAAGCAAGCAAAACAAAAGAAACCTTGGAAACAGCCTCTACACTTAACATCTTTAAAACACAATATATATCACCTTTGTTGAGGAGATTCTAGAAGACCACAAATCAAAGTTTATTCTTTCTCCTGATCTAATGGGTCCAGGTGAGAATGTATATTTTCTCTTAAATTAGAGAGTAAATTCTTTAAGGGCAGGAATCAGAATTTTCATAAAATATTCTAAGAAGGGGTTGGATCTCCAGGAGTCCTTTTAATTAGATTGCCTGGTGCAGTCCAGTCAGTATTACTGACTGAAATCCAATTTTCCAGGTACTGCAACTGGAAGTCAGGGAGTGATGTTTGGATACCCATTTGTCAGCAACCCACTGTTCTCTGGATTCTAGACTGTGTTTTGTGTGTTCAGTACAGAGTGATGGGTTAGCAGCTGTTCTTATCCAACTCCTTTGAATTCTGTGGTAAATATATGTATGAACCGTTTCTTTAAAGAGATGATATGTAAATTGAGGGGATGCAAGAACAGGCTTTCCATTTTTAATAAGATTTACTTCCTCAAGTGCAAATGGTGTTGGGCACATCGTAAGTACTTTATACATACTTGTTCCTCTAACTTGAAGTGTTCTTTCTTGAGGATTTAATTCTGAAGGCTAAATGACTTCTGCTTCCTCCTGCTCCACACACAGTTTGGATCTTTCTTTGCAAGATAAGAAGGAGTAGAGAGGGAAAAAAGGGATGAATAAACAGCTGTGAGTGGGACCAGAGGGGAGAACAAGGAACGGGAAGGAGGGGAAGATAGAGGCAAACATTGACGTATTTGCTGGCAGTCAAGGACCTTGAACCTGCCATATGCATTTGGTGGGATTCCCCAGCATCAGCCACACTGCCTTCTCCCCTGCTTCTGGAGAGCTCCAGCAGCTGGGCTACTGTCCGTTCTGTCTCCTCCTTCCCCAGAAAACCTGGCCTTGCACAAGTGCCACCTGCCACTCACTTCCACTGCCCTCCTCCTGGCCCCTCTTGTGGATCTGGATTTCTAAAAGGACTTGGGAGTCCTGGTCATACTGTCCTTACACTCTCCCCTTCTAGGCAGGATTTAGCTTCTTAATGATCTCAGGAAACCACTGGATGTGTTTAGTTACCAAGTCAGCCCCTACCCTGCTTTGATAAAAAGATAGCATGAATACAACTAAACCCCTTGTGTTTTCTTCCCAGGAAAAGTTTAAAAGCAGCTACAAATGTGACTGCTGTCCCTTTCTGAGTTCCCAGGTTCTGCCCATTCCTGTGGCTCAGCCATTCACCGGGTGGGCTGCCTCCCATCTGGGGGGTTCCAGAGGTGGGAGTGACATCACTTGTAGTGGGAGCTAAGGCTACAGGGAGGAGGGCAAGCCAGCTGCTCACTCACCTCTCTGAGAGTGCCCCGGATCCATTTTCTAACTGAAACTTGGATTGTTGAGAAACAGTTAACGAGGAAGCCATTGCAATGGACAAAACATTTTGCAGATCCCAGCTCCATTAAAGCAGGTATTTAGAGTAATGAAAAATCACATTTCTAATAATTCTTTAAAGTGTTTTTGTATTCAAGTAGCTGGGGCACACGTGATCTAACTTAGGAACAAACTCTTTGAGAATAGGTGCTGTTGCTTTTGAGGCCCAGGTCTGATTCTCCTCTTTTGATTCCATGGAAATTAGAGCTGTAAAAAAAAGGATATGCTTTCCCTTCCACCCCTCATTAATTCTCAACTCTGCTTGACTCCAGACTGTGCCATATTCAGTACAGTTTTGTGGCTCAAGAAACGCATTATTTGCTTATTCACTTCTCATTAATCCCACCTTCTCTGTGCCAGCACCATGCTAAGTAACATAGGAGACATAAACTATTTAAGATACAGTCCTATCTTTCAGCATACATTTAGGGAGATAATGAAGAGACAGAAATGTCTGCAAAATAAGATATTGTATGATATCACATAAGTGCTGCACATAGAATGTTACTAGAATGACATAGAAACCTGAGAGAGAGAGAGAGAAAGAGAGAGAGAGAGAGAGAGAAAGAGAGAGAGAGAAAGACAGAGAGAAAGTACTCTGGAGGCTTTTTGGAAAAAATTTGGTGTATGGGCATGTGATACAGGAGGAGGCACTGCAGGTAGGGTGAACACAAGGCCGCAGGTGTGGATGGGGAAATGCACAGGCCTGTTTTGTTTTTTTTTTGTGGGGGGGGAATGAAAAGTCTATGTTGATAACGGTGAGATTTTTTAAAATAGAAAAATAATGAATGTTAAGCTTAAAATGCAGGTAGAAATTGATTACAGAGGGTCTTGAATGCCACCCTGAAGGTATGAAATCCTATGTAACAGTTATCAAAGAATTTTTATAGACAGTAACATTGTCTATAAGTGAGTGCAGGGTAGAGGGACTGGATGGGTGGAGAACAAAAGCTGCGATAGCAGAGAGGGGGCTGCTGCAACCATTTAGGGTGTGGACATTGTATAATGAGGGCTGACTTGGGAAATCCCAGCAGGAATGGAAAAGTTGGGAGGCTGTTAAGACAGAATGGTATGAAGAGTGATTCAACTGGATTGGCAAATTAAAAGTAGAGAATGAGGGACAGGAAGGAGTCAAAATATATGTTTAAGACTTTCATATTGAAGATGAAAACTAGAAAGATTTTTATGAAGTATGGCCAAATTCAAGGCTGACAGTCTTACTTTGGGGAAGAGGGCAGATGTCTTGTCACTAACTCTTCTCTCAGAATCTATGAAGGGTGACTTGATGGCATTATTAATTTTATGAGTTGGAAACTAGAGTTCAGTAGCAATTGAAAAATGCAAGTGAAAAAATATTAGAAATAGAAACTCCATTAACTAGCATTAAGATAGACAATTTTTTCTAAACTCTTCTGTTCTATGGTTCTAGTATGAAAATACAAATTATGATGGTGGGATCAGAAGTTCTTTTAGGTGATACTATATTCACCATATTACCAGATACAGATCTCTCTCTCTCTCTCTCTCTCTCTCTCTCTCTCTCTCTCTCTCTTTTCTGGTACTGGGGATTGAACTTGGGACCTTGCTCTT